GGACAGACTAGAAGACCTCCAAGGTCCCTTCCAGCTCTATTCTGAATTCAGGGTCCTCGTTGCTCTTAATGCATAGTGTGCAACAGTTGTAGCCAGCACGCAACAGAGCCTCAATGACCCGCGTTGGGTAAGAGCATTAAGCCTCAGGTGCTGTGTTATCTTTGTCCTCATCTATATGCTTATGATGTGTATCTCGCCTATCCTGAGCTTGGAAAAATCAAAGGGGATACAAAAAAAAAGATTATAGCAAAAGATGGAAGCAATCAACAATTTTAAAAAGCATTAACTTTACAAGATCTCAAGTAGTTACTGAACTCTAGTCCCTAAAGATTGATGGGCTTTTTTTTTACATTTTTTCTTTAATCTCACATTTATCTTTATATATATATGTAAATAACTCAAGACGGCAAACATCTAATGCTCCTTTCTCCTCTCCATAACTTCACAACAACAACTCCTGTCAGGTGACACAGAGTCATCTGCTTTCATGCCTAAGGCACAGCTGGAACTGTTTTTTAGCCTGGTGCCTTCACCAATAGACGAAACTTAATGGGTTAAGAATTTCTATCCTGCTCTGTCCACTTTTATTTTTATTTTATTTTATTTTATTTTAAAGATTTACCTGGTAGCCTGTTCACTCAGTGACTCTGCGTTGTTTACAAAGCAGTTAACAGAATAACAGAGTTGGAAGGGACCTTGGAGGTCATCTAGTCCAACCCCCTGCTCAGGCAGGAAACCCTATACCATTTCAGACAAATGGTTGTCCAGTCTCTTCTTAAAAACTTCCAGTGTTGGAGCATTCACACCTTCTAGAGGCAGGTTGTTCCACTGATTAATTGTTCTAACTCTCAGGAAGTTTCTCCTTAGTTCTAGGTTCTTCTCTCCTTGATTAGTTTCCATCCGTTGCTTCTTGTCCTGCCTTCTGGCGCTTTGGAGAATAGCTTGACTCCCTCTTCTTTGTGGCAGCCCCTGAGATGTTGGAACACTGTTTTCATGTCCCCCTCGTCCTTCTCTTCATTAAACTAGACATACCCAATTCCAGCAGCCGTTCCTTATATGTTTTAGCCTCCAGTCCCCTAATCATCTTTGTTGCTCTTCTCTGTACTCTTTCTGGAGTCTCAACATCTTTTTTACATCGTGGTGAATCACTGCAGTTATGTTTTAAGTTGTCTCATATTTGTCTATGTTTTCTTCATACTGGATTGGCAGCTCTGCTCCTTGGCCTGTAATTATTTGTAAATGACAAGGAGGGCAATGCAAAAACTGTCACAAGTGGTCCATAGTACACACTAGTGACATACACTCCCTAAACGCTCCCACAAATCCTTAACGTTGGAGGAACTTGGAAAGATTGAGCATAGTCTTGAGGTATTTATTTTGCTCCCTCTTTATTACCTAATCCCAACAACTTATTCTTCCTGG